CATGAAAAAGAGGAAGACCTCCATTGAGATGGATTGGCACATGGCAGTAGCAATGGACTCAAATATAAGTAACAATGGTGAGGTTGGTGCAGGACCAAGTAGGTTTTTTGTTCCATTGTACACTAGGTCGCTGTGAGTCAGAACTGCCTGGATGGCATCTAACAACGACAGCTACAAAAGGCCTCTTCAAACTATGAAACAGCCAATGTGTCCCTTTGGCAAGGACAAAGTAATAATAAATAAACAAGGTGCCCAGCTTCAGAGTAGTGGCTGAAGAGCAGTAACCCATACCATTGTCGGCCCCAACCCCCACACAGAACCCTCCCACCTGCACACCAGGCAGTTGTTCACGACACTATAACCCTTTTTGAGAGTAGCCTGCAATACCAAAGCTGTGCCTTTTCACAAACCATGGGGATTAAATCTAAACAGGATATATTAGGGACTAGTAAGATACATTTGGAGTCCTGGTGTGGCACTGTAGAATAAAGCACTGGACTGAAAGGTGGGCACTGCAAACTTACTAGCCACTCCTCGGAAACCCTATACAGGGTCTCTGTGAGGGAACCAATTTGATGGTTTCAACTTAACAGCAACAACAGGAAGATGCATTTGCTATTGAAACTAAAATATGCATTTTTGTGTGTGTTTGTGTGGTTAGATGTTGATGATGGAGACACAGTAACAGATTTCATGGCTCAAGAGCGAGAAAGAGGCATTACTATTCAATCAGCTGCTGTTACGTTTGATTGGAAGGGATACCGAATCAATCTGATTGATACACCAGGTATGGTACTTTTCTATCACTGCAGAGATGCTTCATTCTTCCGGGGTTCTTCTTGTTTCTAAAGATTCTAACTGCTGTGTTTGTCATCTTTAGGTCATGTGGACTTCACTGTGGAGGTTGAGCGCTGCCTTCGGGTTTTGGATGGTGCAGTTGCTGTATTTGATGCCTCTGCTGGAGTAGAGGTAAGCGAAAAAAATACTACCAAAGTGAAATGAAGATTGAGCAGCATGATTTAAAGAAAAAGATAGAATGATTATAGAGATAGTAGTTCAAAGTTCACATAAATCATATTGTGGTTAATTATTTGGAATTTAATATTGAGACGTGATCTCAGATACTTTATAGAAAAAGTAAAGTTTGCTTTTCTGTAGAAAGTATGTTAAAGTTGAAAACCATGAAAAGGTCTGAAATTCTAGTCTACTTTCAAGTTATAAGTTTGCCTGCCATAATTTTTTCTGCCTGAAAATTCAAGGCTCCTGAGTTAGATACAAAGGACTTAAGAAGTAGCAGCAGCCCAGAGAATCCACAGTTTTGTTTGTGCTGGCTCCCAAGTCCCGGTTTCTACAGGGGAGACAGAGCCTGGTGAGAGACACCCTTCACTTCGAGAGTGCAGATATTCTCTAATGGGCAGTGAGTTCATTAGAACTCATATACATTGTTGGTAGAAGTATAAGGCTAAAATAAGATAAGCACTTTGGAATTTTCTTGTGCAGTTTTTTAAGAAGTTAAAAATACACTTAACCTATGGGCCAGCAATTCTTCTCCTGTATCTTGAGTCAAGAAGAATGCAAACATTTGTTTGCCAAAGACTTATTCAGAATGTTTATAGCAGTTAAATTCATAATGACCCCAAACTAGAAACAATCTAATTGGTGTGTTATCCAGCATCAGTGAGTGGACACACTGGTAAATGTGTGCAAAGGAATAGACGTATAAAAAAGAATGAACCCATCTACCTAACAATGTGGATGAATGTATCAAATCAAAGGAGTTAGATTATTTGAAGTTCAAGAGGAGGCCGAATGAACTCATGATGATAGAGATCAAATTAGGTTACTGATGGGAAGTTGGGCACAAGCAAAGTTTCTAGAGTAATAGAATGTTCTGTTTCTTGATTGTAGTAGTAATTATACAAGTGAATACATTTCTCAAAACCCAATGAGCTATATACATATGCCTAAGATCTGTGTATTTTATTGCATATAAATTTTAAAACCCTCCCTTTCAAAGCAAAACCAAACAACTATACAGACTGCAGTGTGTTATAGCTAGTCTCAGTACCTTAGGCCTTTTATGCTTTGCTTCAGGGTTCTTGTTCTCTATTATGCACAGATACTATAATAATCAAATTATACTCATTTAATGTGTTCAATTGTTGTTGTTAGTGCCGTCGAGTTGATTCTGGCCCATAGTGACCCTGTATAGGGTTTCCAAGGAGCAGCTGGTGAGCTTGAACCACTGACCTTGCAGTTCAAACGACTTCACAGTCTGATTCAATAGCCCACAGCGCCACATTAGCATCTGTTCTTTCACCGTACTTATTCAACCTGTATGCTGAGCAAATAATCTGAGACGCTGGATTATATGAAGAAAAATGTGGTATCAGTATTGAAAGAAGACTCATTAACAACATGAGATATGCAGATGATACAACCTTGCTAGCTGAAAGTGAAGAGGACTTAAAACATTTACTGATGAAGATCAAAGAGCACAGCCTTAGGTATGGATTACATTTCAATGTAAAGGAAACAAAAATTCTCACCACTGAACCCATAAACAACATTCTTACCAATGGAGAAAAGATTGAAGTTGTCAAGGACTTCATTGTTCTTGGATCAACTATCAACACTCATGGAAACAGCAATCAAAAAATCAAACTACGTATTGCATTAGGCAGATCTGCTGCATAAGACCTTTTTAAAGTGTTGAAGAGTAAAGATGTCAGCTTGAGGACTAAGGTGCGCCTGACCCAAGCCATGGTATTTTTAATAACCTCATATGCATGTGAATGCTGGACAGTGAATAAGGAAGACCGTAGAAGAATTGATGCATTTGAGTTATGGTGTTGGAAGAGAATATTGAAAGTGCCATGGGCTGCCAAAGAACCAATAGATCTATTTTGGAAGAAGTTCAGCCAGAGTGCTCCTTGGAGGCCAAGATGGCCAAACTTCATCTTTCATACTTCAGACATACTGTCAAGAGGGATCAGAGAAAAAGAGGAAGACCCCTGATGAGATGGATTGACCAAGTGGCAGTATCGATGGACTCAAATGTGGCAACAACAGAGAGGTTGGCCCAGGACCAGGCAGTGTTTCGTTCTGCTGTGCATAAGGTTGCCGTGAGGTGGTCCTGACTCGATGGCACCTAACAACAACAACAATTTGTTCAAAAAATGAAATGACAAGAAGTCAGGTGAAAGAAACCATATGAGAAGTAAACTTATAAATGCAGCTGTTGTCTGCCTTTTTACCCTTTAAAACTTCTTTCATTTACATGAACACTCAGTTATTCAAAAGGAACATGTATGTACCATTTTTATAGCTTCCTTTGTATGCTTCTGTAATCTCACAACAACTGTGTGAAGTAAGACCAAACGTTGTCTGTCTTTCACACATCAGAAAACTGACATTGAACGTGTACAGGACTTTGACCAAGTGCTCTTTCCGTGACTCTCAGTGCCTTCCAGGTGTGGGCACGTAGTTCACCCAAACTGTTTGAAACCATTTGAAGCATACTCTTCATCACATGTCATTACAGTCCAAACTGTGTTTACCTGACAGTGAGAATGAGCCTGGAAGCCAGAGGACTGTGGCACTAATCCTGTGTTGGAATTAGCAGGAGTCCAACTCCATGTTACAGTAGTTTCTTGTATCTGTTTTCATGTCTACATGGTCGCCATGAGCCGAACCTACTTGATGGTACTTAACAACAACAAAATACCATTGTTATTTTTGCCACATATATATTTCCTTATGTTTACTTTAGGCCCAAACTCTTACAGTATGGAGGCAAGCTGATAAACACAACATCCCTCGAATCTGTTTTTTAAACAAGATGGACAAAACTGGAGCAAGGTATTTAAGCTTTCATCAAAATGAGATTGCAATATGAGTTTTGAATGAACTGTAAATTGAGAAACATCATGTGGCCCATAGACAGTGCTACCGTTAACACAGAAATGAATAGCACTGGATATGATATTCAGAATGTTTAAGATGAAAATGGAGTCCCTGGGGGTGCAAATGGTTAGCACTCTCAGCTGGTAACTGAGAGGTTGGAGGTTCAAGTCTACCCATAAGTACTTCAGAAGAAAGACCTGACAATCTAATTCCAAAAAATAAGCCACTCTAAGCCCTCCTCAGTACAATTGCATCTTGAAATGCTTGAATCAAAACCGACTTGAGGGCAGGTGATTCTTAAGAGCAAAGTAAAGAAAAATTAATCAGTCAAGTTGGCTCTTGGAAGGAAGTCTTAAGTGGTGGCAATTATAGTTGTAGAAGAACAAATCCTAGACTGAGGATAACAAATCTGGCACCTGAATCCTGTCTACAGTATATTACATACTCAACTTGATCAGTTTATGTAACCTTAACCTGTAACTTTAGTTTTGTGAGATGCAAAATAATAATAATAGTACCATAACAACCTATGTGGATCCCTGGTGTGATGCTGTGAGTCAATGTGATGTGCTGTGATGCGCTGGACTATAATGTTGGTTTGAACTACAAGGTTGGTGGTTCAAGCTCACTAGCTACTCCTTGGTAAACCGTATACAGGGTGGCTATGGATCAAAACCGACTCCACGGCACTTAACAACAACAACAGCCTATGTGGCAGGATTGTTGTTAATGATCATTATTATCTGTGCTGGTGGTGGTGATGTGCCGTGGGGTCAGTTCTAACTTAGTGACCCTGTACAGGGTTTCCGAGGCTGAAAATCTTTTATGGGAGCAGAAAGCCTAATCTTTGTCTCATGGAACAACTGGTAGTTTCAAAATGAGAACCTAAGGTTCACAGCCCGATTTGTAACCACTATATAGTTGACATTCAAAATTTATTCATGATAATGTCCAGTGGAATACAAATGGTGAACATTTGGAAGAATAGAAAGGTTTAAAATTGTAGAGACCATTTTTAAACCTGTTTTTTTATAACTTTGACATGTTAAAATATTGTTTTGCTTCCTACAGTTTTAACTATGCAATTGAAAGCATCAGAGAGAAGTTGAAGGCAAAGCCTTTGATTTTACAGGTAAATTGCTCTTTCTCAGCAGTTGATTTGATTGTGAGATAAATTTCTGAAATTATCTCAAATTTTTTGGGGAGAATTTGGTGTCTAAATACAAGTAGATGATTGTAGTGATGGTAATAGACACTTTTAGAAGCAGTGGTATAATTAGGTAGGTTTATCAACTATGCAGTTCTAATTGAGTGATCATTTAATAATGTTAATCATACTCTGCATTATAGTTACCAATTGGTGAAGCCAAAACCTTCAAAGGATTGGTGGATGTAATCAGTAAAGAAAAACTACTTTGGAACCCCAATTCAAATGATGGAAAAGACTTTGAGAGAAAACCCCTCTTGGAATCAAGTGATCCTGAGTTGCTGAAGGAGACAGCTGAAGCAAGAAATGCTTTAATTGAGCAAGTAAAATCAGTACTTTGAGTTTGAAATTGATTAAAAGTATTTGTGGTTGCTGCTGTTGTTAAGTGCTGTTGAGTTGATTTTTGACTCATAGCAACGCCATGTGACAGAGTAGAACTGCCCCATAGAGTTTTCTAGACTGTAATCTCTATGGGACTAGATTACCAGGTTTTTTATGTCTCAGAGCCAATGGGTGGATAAATGGGTTTTTCTTATTGAAATGATGTCTTCCCACTTAGATTTATTCCTTCAGTGCAAGATTACAGTCAAATTAGTTTTGTTTTTTAAATTTGACTGTCTTAAGAGATCTGACAAACATTCAGAAAGGATACCTGAAGAAACTTTTTAGTGGATTAAATTCCCCAAAGTTACATAAAAAACTATTGATCATATGTATTATTGACTGTAGATTGTGCATTTTTTTCTGCGATATCTTTTGAGCATACTGAGTACTGAACTTACGTACTTTATTGAGCTGTTTTTTTCAAATTCTGACTTCCTATGAAATTAGGTATTTCATAATGCTGTTGTTAGGTGCCACTGAGTCAGTACCGACTCATAGCGACCTTATGCACAGCAGAACGAAACACTGCCCGATTCTGGGCCAACCTCATTATTGTTGCCACACTTGAGCCCATTGATGCTGCCACTTTGCCAATCCATCTCGCTGGGGGACTTCCTCTTTTTCTCTGACCCTCCACCTTATCAAACATGATATCTTCCTCCAGCGACTGGTCCCTCCTGACAATATGTCTGAAGTATGAGAGAAGTTTGGCCATCCTGGCCTCCAAGGAGCACTCTGGTTGCACTTCTTCCATCATAGCATATCTTTAATTTTCAATTTCCTTTCTTTTCAAAGAAAAGCCCTTTTCTTTATGTCATTGGAAGTCATTAAGACTTGCTTGACCTGAATAAGGTGGAACGTGTGTCTGTCTAGAAGTATTTGAATCTTGCATATTTATGATATTTAGACCTAAGCTAACAGTTATGAGAATAATCACGAGTTATATGACTCAACTTTTCTTTATAGGTTGCAGATTTGGATGATGAATTTGCTGACTTGGTTTTAGGAGAATTTAGTGAAAATTTTGATTTGATACCAGCTGAAAAGGTACTTTTTATTTTCAATTGCTTTGACCAAGTAATTAGATCTGGCTTGATTTCTTTGTCTTTGGTGTTTTGTTTTAACTTTGCATACTGTTACAGAATGGTGACTAAAATTACAAGAACATTAAAATGAAGTCACTGCTAATATATTTATCTAAAGATACTGTCACACATAGCTTCTTTACAAAATTCGGTATTTTATCATTTTTTAGTATATTGAATCAGGATCAGTGTTTTTTTCTTCATGGTGATCATTTCCCTAAGAAAAAAATGACAGAAAATTTGTATTTAAATAGCTTGCTGGTGTTTCAGGCTGCTATGGCAATCATTTTTCTCAGGACATCTTTTTTCTGAAATCAGTTTAAATTATTTTTTAAACTCATTGCAGGTCTTTGGTCTTTTTTTGTTTTGCTTTCCTTTTGAGATACATTAAACTAGAGAAAAGGGGAGTAAAACACTGATACCATTTGAATTTTAATTCTAAGAGCTTTCAAGGTGTCTTTTCTTTTTTCTTGCTAATTTGCTATACTTATTTATTTTCAGTTATGAAACATATGAGTTGCTTTACAAATTATCACTAAGAAATCAGTGAATATTTCTAAGTGGTAATTTGTAAAACAAGGCTCAGGTTGAACCCAGTAAATTTATTTAGTTATTATTCAAGGAAAAAATTAAAATATAAGACTTGGGGATTATTTTTAAGCTACTTGAAGTTAACAATGTAAAAAAAAAAAAGGAATGAAATTCCATCATTTTTATAATTTATTACAGTTTAGCATTTGGATACTTAAATATGATAGTTATTATACTTTACGTAGTCATATAACATGAGTTGTAGTTTTGCAAAAGCTCATAATCTAAAGTGAAAATGACCTCCCATTTCTTTTATCAGTAGCTCACAAGCGTACTCAAGCTTCTCTTGTTTTTTGAGATCTTTTAAAAAATTTCCTACTTTGGTTTCTCATTTTCCTTTGTGTTTTGTTTAATGAGGATCTAATTCCTTTGAATCCTGGTGTGGTACGTGGTATAGGATAATCACTGGACTAAGATTCAGTATGAATCTCAAGGTTGGCTGTTCAAACTCACCAGCCACTCTTCAGAAACCATACTTGATGGCCCTTAGCAACAACAACAATTCATTTAAAGAAAATGTAACTCAGTTTATATAATTTATTTCTCATCACTTCCTGTGTTAGGCTATCAGCGTTAAAGCATAGGTATATCAATTTAGTTATTCAAGAAGTAATTTTGAGTACCTAATATATTCTAGGAGTCCTGGTATGGTGCTGTGGGCTAATGCGCTAGACTGAAAGTCGGTTTGGACTGCAAGGTCGGTGTTTATAGTTCACCAGCCGCTCCTCAGAAACCCTATGCAGGATCGCTGTGTGTCGGAATCAACTCGATGGCACTTAACAACAGTATAGTCTAAGGGCCCTAGTAGAGTGCTGTCACATAAGTACTGGACTGCTAACTGCAAAGTTGGTGATTCAAACCCACCAGCTAGGCACTATGAATCAGAACGGACTCACTGGCACTTAAGAACAATATATCGTACACTCATCTTTAGGTTTTGGTGATGCAGCAATGTTTTTCTGGGGCATATTGCAGTGCTCATATGCATTTTGCTTTCTTGTGGGTGGGAAACAAAATAAACTAATGAGTAAATATTGGCTTCAAACAGTTCTTAGAAAAATGGAATTAAAAGATAAGTTTTCCCACCAGCATTTTGAAATCGCTTCATATTTAATGTCAGGTAGTGATTGAAGTTATACAGAAGTATAAGACAGTAAAGAAGGAATCCTGGTGACACAAACTGTTAACACTTAGCTGCTAAACAAAAGGTTATCAGTTCGAACCCACCCAGTAGTTCTCTTCTATCACCTGGATTCACTGTGAGTTGAAAATCAATTTGATGACACCTAAGCACAGCAATGTGGGAGATAAAAAGTGGTGGTAATATCCTCAGGAGTGCTGTTTTGGATGGGTGGTTCGGGAAGGCCGCTGATTCTGAGAAATTTTAACTGAAACCAGTGTATCAGACTCACTGCCTGCGAGTCGATCATGATTCATAATGATCCCATATAGGGGATTTCCTAGCTGTGAAGTTTTACGGGTGCAAAATCCTCTCTGTCTCCTATGAAGTGGCTGGTGGATTCGAACTGCTGACTTTGCAGCTAGTGGTCCAAAATGTAACCCAGTATGCCACCAGGGCTCCATGTGCAAAATGCTTCTGTCTCTGCTTTATAGCTACAGACTGCAATACACAGAGTCACAGTGGCTCAGACAGCAGTGCCTGTGCTTTGTGGAAGTGCCCTGAAAAACAAAGGGATCCAACCCTTACTAGATGCTGTTACTATGTACTTGCCTTCACCTGAAGAGCACAGCTATGAATTTCTGTAAGTATGCAAGCACATGGATTCAGATTTATTGCCTTGAAAACAAGTAGGCATATAGATACTGTTTTAGAAAGACTAGTTAAATCATCATTTTTGAATCACTAAGAATGATGAAGAATGCTGTTGTAAATAACATAATATATAGCTGTGACAGTTTTTACTTGAAACGGATACCAGACATGTTGTTTGCTATGTTTAAAGATGAAGCTAAGAATGTATGGCTTTTCATTGTAAAAGTATTAGCTCTCAGTTAAAAAATGGAAGAAGGAAACTAGCATTACAGGGAATGTTTGACAAATACATATTCATGTAGATGTTAAGATATTTCATAAGCTCAACCTATTTTGTGGCTAGAAAGAAATGTCATTATTTTATTCCCGTTGTCACTAATGGTTTTATATTTAGTAGTGGTGGCAGTTATGTGCTGTGTAGTCAGTTCTGACTCATAGTGACCCTGTACAAGGTTTCTGAGGCTGTAAATCTTTATGGGAACAGAAAGCCTCATCTTTCTCCCGTGGAACAGCTAATAGTTTCAAACTGCTGACACTGAGGTTAGCGGCCCGATTCGTAACCACTACACTACCAGAGCTCCTTGTATTTAGTAGTAAGTCCCCTATAATCTGAGTGAGTGCGGTGTACATAGGCAGGTATATTAAGTAGGGCATTAATAACTTTGTCTCTTATCTCTGAAAGAGGGGCAGTATAGTTATGAGTGTGGACTTTGTACTTCCTAGGTTTAAACTCCTGCTCTCCCACTCACTAGCTATATGCCTTTGGACAACTTGCTTAGCGTGTCATCTGCAAAATGCAGAGAAGAATAGCATCTGTCTCATAGGATTAATAGTGATGATGCTCCTGGAATAGTGCCTAGCATTTAAGTTTTCTTTCAAGTGTTTCATTCAATAAAATGACAGATAAAAGGGAATAAAAATAGAAAACATTCTTTAATAGAAAGGTCTAAGTACAGAGGATTGCCAGAAGAAAGACCAGATCTATCTAGGAAGAAATTCAGCCAGAATGAATGCTCCTTAGAAGCAAAGATGGCAAGATTCTGTCTCATGTATTTTGGAAATGTTACCAGGAGGAAGCAGTTCCTGGTGAAGCACAGCATGCTTGGTAAAACAGAGGGTCAGTGAAAAAGAGAAAGATCCTCAAAGAGACATAATGACACCGTGGCTGCAACCGTGAGCTCAGTCATAGTAACGATTCTGAGGCTGGTGCAGGACCAGGTAGTGTTTCGTTCTGTTATAAACACAGGGTCACTGTGAGGTGAAACTGACCTTATGCCACCTAACAACAACCTGTTTTGAATCATGGACTCTTGAGAAGCTAATGAAAAACAGAGCTTCTCCTCAGAAAATTGCAATTTCAGGATGCAAACATTCTGGAACCTATCACATAATGCCAATTGTAAAGCATCCCTTTGAAAGACTGTTGATTGTGTAAACAACTGTGTCATATAGATTTCTGTTATGCAAGTGGATATAATGGGAGGAGACAATGACAGTTGTAATTGTAAAATATCTATTTGTTTCTCCTGTGCAGATAGCTTAAGTAGTATGAAGTTCCCAGGTACATTTTTGGGGGAGGGAGCTCTTGGCCATGGATTTATTTGCAATTAGGGGTAATATTTGCAAGCGTATCATTATTTTTAGTATTGAGGACCTAATGATTAGGTCTTTGTAAAAGATTTAATTCAGTGGAGGAAGAGAGGTACATATTAGTGATATTACTTAATGGGCCAGTTAACTATTACTAGAAGATAAGAGGAATCTTTTTAAGATATCAAGGCTAAGTTTTTGCAGTAATTCTGATCATTATAGATGTGTAGGAATTGCATTTTATAGTCTGATCTGGAATGTCTCCTTTGCTTTATAGGCACTGGTATAAGGATGACTTATGTGCACTGGCATTTAAAGTTCTTCATGACAAACAGCGAGGGCCACTGGTTTTTATGCGTATTTACTCAGGCACAATAAAACCACAGTTAGCCATCCATAATATTAATGGTAACTGCACGTAAGTAGAAACTTAGGTCATTTTCTAAAAATGAGTTCTTTTAAAATACTTTTACTTATATAAGTCTTGGCTTTACAGGGAGAGACTAAGTCGTCTGCTTTTGCCATTTGCTGACCAACATATAGAAATTCCTTCCCTGACTGCTGGTAACATTGCTCTGGCTGTGGGGCTTAAACATGTAAGTGACCAAGTGGTTTCTCTAGGATTTTTTTTTTTTTACCTTTTTATTGTGAACTGATTGATAGTTTGCCTGGGAGAACATCAGCTTTATGCCATTGTTTCATTGCAATGATTACAATCTCCTCTGTGCATCATCATTCAACAGTATTTGCTTCCATTCCTT